AGCTAATGTTTTTAGCACAAGCCTATGGCATTTCACACTGTATAAATTAGCTTAGCAGCTAGTGGATATTTCCTCTACTCATATGAAGCCGGGGACAACAGCAACATTTAACAAAGGTACGTTACAAAATTTGGCTCAATTAAAGCTCACAAGCTTCACTGACAAAACAACTGTCTTATTCTAAACACATTTTCCAAACAAATACAACATGCTAACGTTATTAGCACAAACCTATGGTATTTTACATTTTATGAATTAGCCTAATGACTACCTGAAATTTCCTCTGCTCATATGAAGCCGGGATAAATTACACACAAGACTTTAAATGCTATTAATGTGGAGGCTTTATTGTCTACACAAATTTTTGTTTCTTATCTGTGAAATAGAAGTAAATTAAAGTAAATAAAAGCTTTGCGTGTCGTGTAGAGTCCCAACGCCCTCGACTCTAAATCCCATCCCATTCGATTCCCCAACACAGAGCCTCAACATCACTTAAAATTAGTTTGCATTAACTTTGACAGAGACTGAATGACAAACAGATACAAAAAAGAGGTTACCACTGCAACATTTTCATTGGCCTCTGTGCTGCCTACCACTGTTTATTAACCCAATTTTCTAATGTGTTCATAATGTCAATTGTGTAAACTTCGGTATAGTATCATAACACTAGTCATTAAAGTAATTGTTGATACATAATTATATATGTAGAAAAATTATAGCATCTTTAATCAAAATTAAGTTAAATAATATGAATGAAATTTGGATGGACAGCTTTAAGAGCACATTTTGAATGCTCAGCAAAAAAGATAAGTCAGCAGAAGTGCATGAACTGCTGTAACAGATATCTCTCAGCTGTACCTGGTGATATCAAATTAGAAAAACTCATTAGGGTCATAAAGTTTTTTCCAAGGACTTTTAATATTTGATAGGGACCAAATAATGTTTCTTCATATCAGATTTGGTTTGGCTGATGGTGAGAGTCTTTAGGGATCAGCTGAGTGAATCTCCTTGAGGCGAAGTGAAGTTCACTTTAACGTGTCTCCCTCAGAGAGCGTGCTCTTCTCAGGACGCTCAGCAAAGCGCTCTGCACACTGTCCCGTCTCAGCACCACATTGCCAGTGTCGTGTCGCTGCAATAATAGGTCGTGCCTCATTGAGCAGGCTTATTGGATCTTCCTCAGAAGTGAGGTAAGTGGTGTGCTAAATTGAATGCAATTCATAGTTTTTGGGCGCAGGGCCGCTCTGCTATTACATTAGGTGGGAGAGAATTACATAGGCAGAGACAATATTGCAGCTGTTCAAGCGTTACAAGACGCTCGTGGCCTTAGTGAAATCATTTCAATCACCTCAGCAGTCTCAGGTGACTCGCTGTAAATGAAGACAAATGAGAAAATTAAAATGACATCCTTCGATTTTTGGCCCACAGAGCCAAAGGACGGTACTAATTGAAATTTTCAATCAAACCGAAGTAGAAAGAGAATTGGAAAAAAAAAGTCATACCAATAGTGGCAGGAAGAGCAGACCTGCTATAAGTGTGCCAATGATGAACTTATCGAGGCGGTGGAGCTGTCAAAACTGACAACTCTGTTTGGATTCTACAAGGGTCGGTGCATTCAACCTGAATTTCCAGCTCAGTTCCTGCACATCAGTGGGCGCTGCTTCACAATCATCGTCTTGACTCTGCACATGATCAAAACACTGTAAACAAGCTCTGCAACGTGTCAACTTCATGTTGGTGGTCTAGTAACAGGCTTAACAACAAAGTTCTCACCACACAAAGATGTATTTCCACTTGTTGGAGGAAATTATGGATTCTCTCCAAGCTAACAAATTATTACTAATGACCACACCTGACTCTGATTTCTGCTCCTGTATACACTGCCCTTGCTCCGTTATTATACTTATAACCTTGAGTGTCTGCCGATTAGAATGCCTTGTAGGCTTCAGAATAAAAAGAATGAGTGGTGTCCAATTATGAGAACAACAACAGCAGCAACAAGAAAACGTGTGTGTGCAGGGGAAAACCCAGTCCCTAATGCATGCTAATCTGTTGACACTGTGTGTCTGTGTTCTGCAGAGCTTCCTTAAAGCTCTGCTCTGAGGACCTTTACTTCTCAGCTCGGTTTGGAGGTTTTGGTTTGTATTCAATAAGATGTATGCTGATAGTGAGTCAAGAACAAGATTGTTTACTGGGCTATGTCACACTAAGAGGATTATACGCCAAAACAAAAACTATCCTGCAGCTAGTTTACAAGTGTTCTTTGAAAGTTTCAGTAACAATCGAACCTAGTTCTTGTGAATTTTCAGAACCTCCACAAGACATGACTTTCATGTTCCAAGTACAGCTCATAGCTTCAGTTTTAACCTTATTTGTCATATGTAGGATAACACATGGTTAACAGTACAATAAAATATACTGGACAAGTGAAATGGTCATCTTAGCAATAAAAGCACTGGTCACATTAAAGACAAAAGCAGATGTAAGATAAGATGGGATGTTAAAAATAAAATAGAAAATACAGCACTGTATACACAAACCAATTGCAAGAAAAAAACATGTTGGCATTGAAAGTTTCAGATATATACCAGATATTTTGAAACTTAACATTTTAACAACAACGCTGTAGTAAATGTGTGCTTAGGTTTAGGCATAAAAAACACTTGTTTATGGTTTGGAAAAGATCTTTTTTTGGCTTGAAATATCCAGTTTGGGGGACAAAATCCCCCCTGAAAAGGCAACAATTTCTCAATAAAGAATGTGTTTGGTGCCTAAAAATCTACTGGAAACAGCAATGTCTCACTTAAAAACAAATAGTTTTGATGTTTTTGGTCTCGAACAGTGGTCTGCCGCTCAGCAAATGATAATCAAAACTACACTACTTTAGAAACATTGCAATGATACATATGCAATGTGCAAATGAAACATATTCATGGTTTGCAGTAGCTTACAATGCCAACATTTTCCTTTGTCCATTTACCTACAATTCTTGGCGCACAATTTTCCTATATTGAAGGCGGGGCCTCCTAAAACTAGCTAGCTTATTCCTATATATGTTCGATGAATGCTAGGAAGGAGTCTGCCTAGCCTCTGGAACCAATTGACCTATGGCTAAGCCCCACCCCCCTCCACTCACTCCGACAAACTATCAACACTCAGTGACTGGGCGCTATGGCAGGTGTCACAGTACACGGCATTTCACTGGAGGCAATTGATGATTTTTGGGGACATAACGATCAGAGTTCATTGAAAAGTAACCAAAAGGCCCTAAACTACGCATTGGAGGGATATATTCATCATTTTATTGTTGAGAAGGTCGATGAAAAGCTTAAATTACAAGCCAAAATTTACAGGTCACAGTGTACGCTTGTGAACCGCATCTCGTTGCTGTCGCCATCAAAGACAGCAAGATAAAGTGCCATGAAGTTAAGGTTTTTGGCTCAGAATATGAGAAAAGGATAACGGCCTTTTTACCATCTTTACCAAGAGTGTCTCTCCGTTAGTTTGGTGTTACAGTATTTACACTGAATCATTCAGCATAACGTTTGCCAACCTTTGTTATCTTACAGATAAATTAATGAAGCTAAGCTCCAGAAGTTAACGTTAGCTTAACTAGTGCCCTTTGGACAACAGCTAACAATGATGGACGATCACCAAAGTACAAAAACTGGAACAAAATAGGCTAATTAACTCCCAGCAAACAAGGTGACATGATGAACAACGCAGCTAGGAGCTAACGTTTGGCTAACTTTAGCTAACGTTAGCTAGAGATGTTAAAGATAACTTTATATTTCTTTCCAGCAAAGTGACAATATGTTGCCTCAAACACAATGTTGACTTACCTTAGAACAGATGTAGACATCATTGTTAATCTTATTCACGTTGAGTTGATGTTGTGGTCTAACGTTACCACACAACTTTATCCAAAGGAGACACTTTTCTCGGTTGAGATGTGGTTTAAAGTGTAAAAAAATACACCTTGTTGCCCAGCCTCTCAGGATACCTTGTGTCAGAGTTGCATGTACCCCATGCACACTGTTTGACTATTTTTAAACTTCAAATCTCCGAAAAAGCTCATAAAACTGAACAAAACTGACTTTCTGTAATGCATTTCAGTGAACATCCAGGCAGAGAATGTCCAAGTGTATGGGAATGGCTATACGTACTGTGATTGGCTCATCATGTTTGAGGGCGGGATTTAGCCATAGGTCAATTGGAAGGACCTGTCTTACCAAGAGAGCATCCTCAACTTTAAGAGGCACTGAAGGACTGAGAGACTACAAATTAATAACAGAAAGCCTCAAAGTCTGACAGGATACAGTATGCCCCTGATCTGCTTTAATTTATCTCCATGAGCATACAATTCTAAATTTAATATCACAACATGGAAACAGCTCATCCCTACAACTCTCAATCTGGGTGAGACTGTGTTTAAAATACATTTTTGGTGTAGCGGCCATATTGGCAATGTGCAAATTAGAGAGCATAAAGTATGATTTATAAATGATAATAAATCTGAGTATTCCAATGTGTTTCTAAGGCTTAGAAAAAGATTTAAACAAAAAATAAAAATTAAAAAAGTAAAAAAAAAACTTTAAGTGGCCACCATCTTGGAAATATGCAAATTAGGGGTCCAGATGCATCCAAATGATAAAAAATAAGCATTCCAGTGTGTTTCTTATGGTCAAAAACATAAAATAGACACAAAGCTTGTGTTTGTAGCTCATCTGGTTCAAAAGTTACAGCCTAAATGGTTTAAGTGGCGGCCATTTTTTATTTTGCCGCCATGATCATCAGAATGTCAGTCTGCGATTCCCCTATATCCAGATTTCTTCTACATATAAGCTATATTTGTATCAAATTTGGTGCTCTTATCACAAGCTGAATGATTGTCTTGATTTTGTGAGCTACTGTATGCCGCCCCACTGAATAGTTGGAATCCCTCTTTAAAGTATTGGCTGTGCAACTGTTTTCCACAGGTGTTTTTCTCAAATTTAACTCACCATTGACTACCACAGCGATGTCCACAAAATCAATCTCCCCACGGGCCTCTACGCTGGCCTCGCAGCGGTACACACCCTCATCAGCCTTGGTCACCTGATGGATTTGCAGGTTGTTGTTTGCCAGCACCTGGAACCTGCCTTCACAGCACAGGCGAAGAGGAGGGGGAGGAGGAGGAGGAGGAGGAGGAGGAGGAGGACAGGCAGAGAGCCAGGCAGAGAGCCAGGCAGAGACAGAAAAGAGAGAGCGGGAAGAGGAAACGACAAAAGAACAACAGTGTATGATAGAGAGAGAAGCGAGATAAGAAAGTTAGGAAAACAGCAGGAGAAAATTGCCATCTCCACTCTTCAGTAGTTAGACTGTCAATCTTCACTTCAGCACATTTACCTGATAAAGTCCACAAAGATAAACACTTACGCAATTACAGTTCCAAATACCCCCTCCCATTGTGGTTACTCTGAGATTGGCCATGAGTGATGAGGCCTGTATCTCATTTCTCTAAAGCAAAGATATTTATATCCATGCATCGTAATTAGAGTGAAATGATTAAAAAAAATACCCTTCTTCCCCATGTTTCATCATCACCGTGGCACTGAAGATTTGACTTTCAATTAAAAAAACGTGACAGATTCAAGGGGTCACTCTTTCTAATCAGCGTTCAGGCATGCGTTTTGTCTAGATGGAGGATGGGGAAGTGGTGTGGAGAGCCGTAAATCAGGACGGTTGGAGAAGAGGAAATAATGAATCCTAGTCTACTGGTTACTTTCATTGCACCTGCCTTTTATCAGAAAATAAGTTATCCTGTCCTCAAAGTGCTTCTCTACCTATGTCTGTCTCTTTTAGCAAAAGGGTGATCTTAAAAAAATAAAATATAAAAAATAAAATATGTTATAGCAAGCCCATTTAACATTTAATAAATAGCACTAATACCAAAGTGTTAATACCAACAATTGTTTTGTTTTTTTACTAGCCAGAATTCCAACCCAACATATCTGTATTGTATAATATTAACAAGTAATTTCTTACTAAAGGAAAATATACATTGTGGATATCTATAATTAAATTACTATTAGTCAACTTTTACCATTGACTTCTAGTCTAACTGAATTACAGAAGTCATAAATTCAATTCTCACTAGTGGAAAGGTTGATTATTGATATCAACAATACTTTCTCACTAGTGAAAAGGTTCATTGTCGATATCTGTAACTGAATTACAGTTAGTCAACTTTTACCATTTACTTATATTCAAATTAAATTATAGATATCTATAATGCCAGTTAAGTACCAATTTTATTATTTAAACTGTTGGCAATTTTAATCAATGATATCTACAACTAACTTCTCACTTGTGGAAATGTTAATTATTAAGATGGACAATTAATTTCATAAATTCATCCTAGAGATCTGTAACTGAATTACAATTAGTCAGCTCTTACCACTGACTTCTATTCAAACGCAATGAAAATATCAAAAGTTAAATTGTCACTAATGGAAATGTTAATTATTGATATCAACAGTTTCTTTCTTGTGGACATGGTAATTGTTGATATCTGTAACTGAATTACACATAGTCAAGTTTTAAAATTGACTTCTACTGAAACTCAATAACAGATAGCAAAAGTTTAATTCACATTAGTGGAAATGTTAATTGTTGATACAAACAATTAATTTCTTTCTTGTGGACATTGTTATTGTCGATACCTGTGACTGAGATACAATTAGCACTTTTGCTTAAACTCAGTTACAGATATCATAATTTAGTTTTGATGGTAATAATTCCAAGTCTCCATTGTGTAATTTAGACTGGTCGCAATTTCAATTAATGATATCTACAACTCACTTCTCAATTCCAATTCTCATTAATGGAAATATTAATTATTGATATCAACAAAGGATTTCTAATGCAAATGTTCACTGTGGATATCTGTAACTTAATTGTAATACGTCAACTTTTACCATTAACTTCTACTGAAACTCAATTACAGATATCAAAAACTCAATTTTCACTAGTGGAAATGTTAGTTATTGTTATCAACTATTATTTTGTTTACTATTGGACATGGTTGTTATAGATATCTGCAACTTCATTACAATTGGCAAACTTGTCTATTCAAAACTGAATTATAGATCTCTTATGTAATTTAGACTGCATAGGTGTAATTCAAATTCTGCAGCTCTGTAATGTAAATGCCAATTGTTGAAATAAATAATTAAAGTCTTACTGGTGGCAATGTTCATCGTTGACATCTACAATTGTTCTTACATCACCGATATCATAAATAGAATTCTAGATATCTAAAATTAAATTCTGGCAAGTTGAAATTACATTATTGGCTTGGAATTGTAATTAGTAGGAACACAATTTCAGATAACTGTATTCCAGATGGTGGAAAAAAAGTGTAACTTGTAGAAATTATATTTGTACTAGTAAGAATTATACTAAAGATATCTACCATTACTTTTATCACTAGTCAAAAATAATTTTTGATTAAAGAAAAAGGAACTACCACTAATCAGAAATGCCACTGTAGATACCTTTAATGTAATTGTTGGTACGAATATAATTTCAGCCAATTTATAGTTAACTGAAATTTTGTTCTGACCAGTTACAATTCCAAACCAAAAAATGGAATTTTACCAAGCCAGAATTGAATTCTATTATCCAGATTTCCATTTATGACACATACGTACATATCCCAAATGAATGCTGATTTCAACCAATGGCTTTGTGGTACTTTAAGGATATGATGCCCACATATCCAAAATGGTTTGCTGATATGTGTGAAATGTTGTTAATAAATCTATGATGGAAAATTACATTTCAGCTAGTCACGATCCAATTTCAACATTCAATTGTACATATCTGTTACTGTTAAATGAAGAACTAATACACATATTTGTAGCATGTCGGAATTGTTCTAAATCAACTACTCAAAATGACCCTTCTGATTACAAGTAAATGTTAAAAGGGGCTTGCTGTGCCAGCTTTAGATTAAATGGGACTGAATATGATTGACAACATGATTGTAAATTACTGTAGATTGGCTTTAAATACACCCATTTGCGAGAAATAGCTCTGTTCAAAAGATGCAGGGTGTTGGTTTGCATCGCGCCTCATGGGAAGCAGCATCTCCGAATGTCACCATCCAACCTCTCCATAATCCATTCTCTCAGTTGCTTGTTAACATGGTTTCTGTCCAAGTTATACGCCTCCTCCAGGGCTGATGGGATTTCTATTTATAGAATTTGATATCCTTGTCTTATTGTGAAGCCACACAAAGGAAGGAAATAGCATTTCCTAGAGAACAGTATTTTTTGGCACATTAGTGAGTCTTTTCAATGAGAGAAAGAATTGGGCACATTGGATTTTCCCTCTCAATAATCAAGTGTGTTTGGCAGGTTTACATTCAAAATGTAATCCTTTTGAGATTGCTGCTTACTTGCATATTCTATTTCCATCATAATCTACTATTGAATTAATAAAGATCAGTTACACAGTTTGACAATTAAAACTTCACTAATTATATCACACAAAAAAACACTCTTTAAAGCCCCTGACAGTTTCATTTCCAGTCTTAACTTTTTCTTGATAACAGCTAATATTCATGACTAAATAAACAAGATTAACAAAAAAAGGCTGTTATTTGATATCTCAACATTCGAAAACTAAATACAGAAATCACTGATGTGAAATAACCCAAACTTTTTGATTATTTTGCGTTCATTTAAGACCCCATTGCTCAGACTAAGAACTTAACTATAGTAATATGTTTTCTTTGGCTTCATTAAAAGCAACTAATTAGACAATTTAATTCCCCCCAAAACTCCATCTATCGTTTTTCTATACAGTTCTCTCATTCAGGCCTTTTGTTTTAAAAGTACCATGTGGAGTAAACAAACAATATTGTTTGTATCCTTGAGGCCAAATAAACAATTTAAATGCATGTCCTTCCTCATTAAAATATTAAGAAAGCCAGTTTTGAGATGAATTTGAAACATACATTGTTAAAATTCATGCTTGCTTGCTAACAGTCTTCTTCTTCACTGCCTTTGTTGGCAGACCACTACATTTCTTTATGACGGCATAAAGCCATTGGCAGGGCAGTGTATGATGTCACATGCACGCACACGGACGTGTAGCTAATGCACGAGAGTCAAACAACACAGGGACCCTTACAAACATTGTTAAATAAACTCTACAGGGTAACTTTAATTTACTTTGATAGTTGCCCTACTTGGCAAATAGCCACTTCCCTCTTCCAAAAATTAAATAAATTAATAAATAAATAAAAATAAAAAAGCAGCAAATTATAACAGTAATAGAAAAAATATAAATAAATAATACAATTAATAAATAAAACAATACAATAAATAAAAAATAATACAATAATAAATAAAATAAAAATAATGAAAAAGTAGACAAAAATTATGAAAACACCTTGACCACAAAAAAGCAGCAAATTGTAACAGTGATAGAAAAAACAAATAATACAATACATAAATAAAATGATACAATAAATAAATAATAATACAATAAACAGATACAATAAAATCAATGAAAAGGTAGACAGAGATTATGAAAACACCACCACCACAAAAACCATTTAAATTTTAGACCTAATTCTAATTTTCTACCCAGAGAATTAAAATTTAACATTTTGTTACTCCATCAATTTAAATCAAATCTGAATCACAACTGGTTCACCTGGCCTTTAGAACATGTTTTAAAGGGACAGTTCAACTTAAATTCAAAAACACATATTTACCCTATTGCCTGTAGTGCTATTTATCAGTCTAGATAGTTTTGGTGTGAGTTGCTGAGTGTTGGAGGTATAGGCCGTAGAGATTTCTGCCCTCCCTCCAGTATAATGGAACTAGATGGCACTCAGCTTGTGGTGCTCAAAGTGCCAAAAATATTACATTCAAAGAACTTAACATCAATGTCTCTTTCCAGAAATCATGATTTACTCAAGATAATTCACAGACCTTGTTGTGAGCAGTTTCATGTGGGGACTATTTTCTGTCTACCGAACTACGCCCGCCAATTCTATCACTGTGCAATAAGTAGCATTCATCTACTCATGAACGACAGACTCATGCTCATGACAGTCCAAGATGTAAAGGTTAATGGTGTCCTCCTCAGCTTAGCTGTAATGTTAACTAGCTCTGTGGTGCTTGGCAAGCTAGAAGTAGATGTTGTGAATGCTTCATATTTCAGTAGACAGACAATAGTTCCCACATGAATTTGCTCCCACCAGGTCTGAGGATTATCTTGAGTAACTGGGTAACAACTTCTAGAAAGAGACATTGCTGTTAAGTTTCTTAAATGTATTTTTTGGTGCTCTGAACAACACTAGCAAAGTGTCATCTAGTTCCATTACATTGGAGAGAAGGCAGAGATCTCTAGAGCCGATATCTCCCACAGTCGACAATTCACACCAAAACAATCTGGATTAATATAGAGGAAAGTATGTATTTGTGATTTTGGGGTGTACTGTCCCTTTAAGTAACTAAACCAGAGATGACTTTTCATATAAAGCGAAAGAACAGTAGTCAAAGTCAAGCATATAACTTCATAGTGACAAAAGGTAATGAAAACTTACTGTGGTGCTCCTCAGTGATCTCTTTGTCCTGGTAGTACCACACCACCACAGGCACTGGTGAGCTAATGACATCGCAGACCACCTCCGCCGTCTCACCATGGCGGAACTCCTGCGGTGACTGGACATCTCGAAACGTCAGCCTCTCTGGGAGATCAAACAAGATGGAGATGGAACAGCTTTTTTTTTTTTTTTCTTCTGTGAGCATTCAGAGCAATTTATTGCAGGTCTGAACTTCAAAAGGAAAATAAGAAAAAAACTGCTGTGCTTTGACAGTCCTTTTAACTATGATTGTTTTGAGACAGAATGTAGGGTTAGAGGTTTGGAAAAAAGTTGCTTTAAAATACATTTCTTTCCAATTTTCTATCTGGGTTGCATCCCGTAAGTTGAGTGTTTGCCTTTTACAGGTAGTTTGGTAGTTTTATTGATAATACAGGTGTAAGTCTTGGGATGGCCTCTATTTGGACGCCTGCAGCATTCATGGCTGTCCTGAAATGCCCTGGAACAGTATCTGCAAAAGAAAAGAAATCACAGTTCTTCCCCTCAATGAATAAATTATTGGTTTCCTTTAAGGCGTTTGTCTTTGTGCTATATGTCCCCTGGATGTGAAACTTTATTGTGTTACCAGTCTATATTGACTGATGCTAATTCATTCATTCATTCATTCATTCACTAATGTGGTTATTAACACTATGGTGTCCAAGTAATGTGATGTTAACCCTATGGGCCCTAGGACTTTTTTGGGGTATTTTTACTGCCTTTACTTTAAAGCTCATATTACAGTCATTATAAAGGCTACATACACATGCTATATGTTGTTTTTTTCAGGACAATCTGGGCTATCCAGATTTGCCATCATTACATGTCCTCATCAATATCAATGAAAAAAAACAAATCTGTGTTACTAAATTCTTACATTTTTACATGTATCTCAGCATAGCAAGTTGGAAGAAGACATATTCTGCCATATATGAAGAGCCATATATGAAGAGGGGAGACTCTCTGGAATCTGGCAATATAAGAACCATGATGGTGGGACACTCTGTCACTTCACAGTTGTCCAAAACATGTGGTTTGTGCCAGGCGGACATGATTGCCAGTATTTTTTCAATATTTCAAGAAATTCCATTGACTCATTCACAAGTCAAAAATGTGTTTTATCTGAAAGAAACATGCAATATTTACATCTAAGATCATAGAAATATAGTCAACCAAGTGCAATGATGTCCTCCAAGATAATATTTGTCACTTTGTTTGCAGTAACGTGTCCCCCTCAGTGTATATGGTGACTACTGCCCTGTCAGCATGCATAATTAGGCCTCAGTTGTCTGGGTGCACAAAGGTGAAGTGGCTGGTATTGTCATACAAAGTTTGATGGAGTGTCAACCGTACAATATGGAGATATTTGCATCTTGAAAGCTGGACTACAAACGTGGATAGACAGGGAGAAACACACGCAAGCCTAAGATGTGGTAAGATACGATATTCCTCACTATATGAAGTGACTGATAACAAGATCTGTATAATGGATTGTGAAGAAATTCGTCAGGTTTTTATTTTGTAGACACTTGATCTGTACTCATAGCATGATGGGATGACAGCACAATGATGTGTGTGGTATCACTGGAAAGCTCTGGTCCTGCGCTTTCATGTGAAATGCGTGGCATTTCTGTTCAAGCCTGCATTCGCGAGTATTACATCCAAGAGTAATGTTTTGTTTTGGCATTTTTTGCCTTTAATGGACAGGACAGTTAAGTGTGAAGGGGGGAGAGAGAGAGAGAGAGGGGCTGACATGCAGCAAAGGGCCACAGGCTGGACTTGAACCCGGGCCGCTGCGGCAACAGCCTTGCAGCCTTGCACCTTGGGGTGCCTGCTCTACCACTAAGCCACCGACGCCCCCATCCAAGAGTAATGTGTGTGCAAAGCTGTATGAAAGCTTTGTTATACATAATTTTAGTGTAACTTTATCATTTTTTTTCACTGTGAAAACATTGGAATACTGATAAGTGGTCTTGTCGGAAAGCTACGGTTCCGCTGTTTCACGTGATATGCGTGGCTTCTCGCTATGACGCACAGTCACAGAGAAAATCCATAGGAGAAAATCCATAAAATCCATTTCTGCTAAAGTTTATGTATGCAGTGTACATTTAGCAGCTTAATACATCCTAAAACCTGACAACAATAAGTCAACAAAGTCTAAGCATTGTCTCACAAGGGACTCAAGTCCCAGTCTGCTGTGTGAAAGTCCTGTGGTTAACCCATTCATCCACTACATCTTAGGTCCCGATCACACTGAAAGCATTTTGCAGGTTGCAAAACACAAGGCGCACCACGCTGCCTTTTTTTTTTTTAATTGAATGCAACTAGTGAAAACAAAAAACAAACAACAACAAAAAAAATGCTTGCTGCGCCTTTTTTATTGTTGCCAGGCAACCAACCCATCACATCCTTACCCTCACCTTCCTGAGATCTGTGTGGGTACATGAGACCCTAAAAAAGAGGGTGGATCCCCTTAATAATAATAATAATAATAAATCGGTTTTATATAGCACTTTTCTAGATACTCAAAGATGCTTTACAAAAGAATACGCACAGAAACAGGCACTCAAACAAAACACTCAATCAAAGGACACTCAAACAAGACACTCAAACAAAAGGCAAATAAACAACACTATACACTACACTACAAAGGGACCACATATTAAGACAGAGAGCGGGTGGAGGATGAAGGGGGGAGGATTTTCAGATGCTGTAGGTGATCCTGAAGAGATGGGACTGAAGCTGACTCTTGAATGAGGGAAGTGTGTCAGAGTTCCGGATGGCCAGGGGCAGGGAGTTCCAGAAGGTAGGGGCGGCGATGGCGAATGCTCTGTCCCCCAGGGTGCGGTACTTGGTCTTGGTGATGGGGGTGAGAAGGTTGGCATCGGAGGAGCGGAGGCAGCGAGTGGGAGAATGGTGATGGAGGAGATCGGTCAGGTATGAGGGTGCAAGGTTGTTTAGGGCTTTGTAAACATTCACCAAGCAAGTCAGACAACACGTGAGTTAAGGGGGCGAAAAGTCTGAATAGGGCAGGTGGGAGGGGTGGTGGACGGGTCCAATGACCATGGACTTTCACCTGGGAGGCCGGTGTTTGCTTCCTGGATGAATGTAAAGCCAAAACCGGTTATCTTTTTCTAAACCTAGCCACCTCCTTTTGTTGCCTTAACCTAACCACATGCGTGTATTGGCTAAACATGACTACGTTCATTTGTTGTTGAAGGAAAAAAAAGGCAATTCGCAGTGTTGTATTGACGTAGTACATTTACTTTTGTAAAGACTGTACACAAACTATATTTCAGTCATATTTGGTGGTATGGCTCTGTTTTGGGGCAAACCAAGCACACCTCCCTGCCCTTCCATGTGCCGACACAGAAAGCCTAAGGCAGGGAGAGCAGCAGCAAAGACCCCCCGGGAACAGAACAGAGCAGAGCAGCATCAATGACAAAGAGAAATGACATTGATAAGTCAGACACAGCATAAAAAGGAGGAGCTGGGGTGGAGGCAGGTTGCAAAGCAGCTTGCAGAGGAAGCAGCAACAGAAGGCAGGCCAGAGCAGTTTGAATAAGGCGTCCTGAATCAGATCCGCCAGTGGGTTGCATAGAGAGGAATCATGTGTCAATATGTCAATATTTCTTGTGAAAACCGTATTTTAAAAAGACACAATGCATGTAACAGGGTGAAGCTGACACGGCATCCCAGATCGTCAACAACAGACGCACCCTGTACACCTTGTACATCATGTGTAGACGTGGAAAGTCCATGACCAAGTGACGATATGTACCAAGGTCGGAGTTAGAATGTATTGGTGTGATGCTCTGTCCCCCAGCAATGTCGAAACTACACCTATACCCTTGCGTGTGCATGTGTGTGTGTGCGCGCACTTTCGCCGCCTTGAGCACTGTCATAACCACCTGGAAACAAAAGAATAATGGGGTTCTGCTGAGTGCTATCACAACTGTGCGACAGTGTTTACAGTGGCAGGAGGATCAATAACTTTGTGTTATTCTCTGGTCTATTGTTTTTCTGTTTATATTTCCCAGTGAGCACACACACGCACACACACACAAGCTAACATCAATGCTAATGGTTACTTAGCCCATCATTAAGACCAAATGGTGCAAATGCTGCTGGCTACCAGGAGTATGTTGCTCATTAATACAGTAGCTAACTTGTGTCTCATAGAGAACGGCATAAACAAGCAAAAAGTGAGGAAACCATATAAGGTACAGAGAAATGATGAGCAGTGTGTGTGTGTGTGTGTGTGTGTGTGTGTGTGTGTGTGCTGCTCCCTGATGAGCACGGCTGACAGGTATCACTCATGCAGCAGCCTGGCCTTTAAATGAACCCGAGCTGCTCTGCTCCCCCGTGGCCCTAACAGGCTCTCTCCAAGATGGATGCTTCTTTAAANAATAATAATAATAATAATAATAATAATAATGAATCGGTTTTATATAGCGCTTTTCTAGGTACTCAAAGACGCTTTACAAAAGAATACGCACAGAAACAGGCACTCAAACAAAACACTCAAACAAAGGACACTCAAACAAAAGGCAGGTAAACAACACTATAACAAAGGGACAACATATTGAGAGAAAGAGCGGGTGGAGGATGACGAGGGAGGATTTTCAGATGCTGTAGGTGATCCTGAAGAGATGGGATTTAAGCTGACTCTTGAATCAGGGGAGTGTATCAGAGTTCCGGATGGCCAGGGGCAGGGAGTTCCAGAGAGTAGGGGCGGCGATGGTGAATGCTCTGTCCCCCAGGGTGCGGTACTTGGTCTTGGTGGTGGGGGTGAGAAGGTTGGCATCGGCGGAGCGGAGGCGGCAAGTGGGGGAATGGCGATGGAGGAGATCGGTCAGGTATGAGGGTGCAAGGTTGTTTAGGGCTTTGTAGGTGGTGAGGAGGATCTTGAAGTTGATGCGTTGTTTTATGGGAAGCCAGTGAAGTTGACGGAGGATGGGAGTGATGTGTTCTCTGGAGGGGGAGTGAGTGAGCAATCGGGCAGCCGAGTTTTGAACATATTGCAGTTTTTGAAGAACAGTGGTGGGGAGGCCATACAGGATGCTATTGCAATAGTTGAGTCTGGAGGTGATGAAGGCGTTGGTGAA